TTGTCACTCAAAAACTATTGTCATCTTAGCATTTTCGTATTAAGACTTTTTACTATAGTCAGATTATTCTGTTGAAATATTGTACGATGATTGTGAGACTGTATATATAAAAGAAGATTTATGAATTCAACAATTCTCCGTTAGTTTAAGATAATTTCATTTCTCCATTATATCTGTTATTTTATCGTGCAAACACGGTATTAAAATGCTACGCACGATTGTAATTCTCGTTGGGCTTTTCGCTTCTGCCTTCAACAGCAACCACTTTTGAAATTGCCTCTTTTTCATATTGTCATGACTAGTCAACCTTCCTCCGTACTTTTCCTCTTCCTTTCGTCTGTCACCCGTTTTCTTCTGTTGCTAAAACCGAGCTTGCCTTTACTTATTGCTTCAACGAGGAATCCATCTATTCGTCCCCGAAGGGTTGGCGTCTCGCCGTTGGAGGAACGATCGCGCTAAGTGGCAGATTCAGACTGATCGAAAGCGGCCGAGATAAAGAGGAAAAAACCGTCTTCGGCAGAGAGGGAAGTTGAAGAGTGGACTTAAAGCTCGTCGAGAGAGTTACAGCTCGGGGTTGAAAGAAAAGTACGAGGAACGCGCCGATACAAAGTGCTGTTTACGCCATCTTTCACCCTCTCTTCTTCAATCACCAATCTTTTTCTACTTAATTCCATACCTTTCGCGTACTGCTTTTAACATTTATTCACATAGCACATATTTTTCGCACTGAAAGAACGATTTTGCTAAACTATTTAATTTGTGATATTACTACTTCGGTTTAGGATTATATTTCAAGATCGATAAATAATCCACGCACAGTTAGCTTAAATTGGAAATTACGTAAACTCGCGAGAAAAATTATTATTGAAAATGAAAAACCATCCTAACCGAATATGGCATTTATCACTCTTATGTACTTAATCTCATTGATTTTCACTTAATATTGATTTTGCTGAAGTATTTAAAAATTTTGTTAAATACAGTTCTCTCTCTCTGAGAATAATTTTGTTAGTATCAAAATAATTATATAAAACCCTTAAGCAGATTGCTAGAACATTTTGTAATGCTTGTTATCAATATTTAAGCGCAATATGTAATCAATATTCTAATTTTATATAATTCTATTATAATTTTGATATTCTAACAAAATTATTTTCAGATCTGTATCTACCTAAATTTTTACATACTTCAGCAAGATCGTTCTTTTCGTGCAATCGTTTGCATATCTTCGAATTGTTTTTCTTCTAGAGCGTGTTACGAGACTTATTGATTATTTAAGGAATGCGAAATTTGTCGCTGCAAGACAATTGATACACATACTTTCTTACATTATTTCTTGGAGTCTTTTATTTATGGACCAGGTGTGTAAAAAATTTGGCGACATACGTACGACATTATTTGGGAGATTTCACTTAAAGATTAACACAGGCCTTATCTCTCTTCTCCAGCTTGTGGTATTTTGCTTGAATGCCGAAAGATATTTTTGTTTCACCCTCGCCGGACCTGTCAGCATGAAAAATGTCGGCGGCGCTTAACGCGATTTTTTCCCTTCAGGCCGCACGACACGGCTGTATCCCTTCTCTCAATTTGCATTTTTTCCTGTCTGTTTCGTATATACCTACACCCAGGCGCGATCCTCAATCCGGGTGACAAAGAGGAGGCTGATGGGTGGATCGTCGCGCGGATAAAGGTATCTTCACAGTGACCCCAACGTCGCGACGGAAGGACCACAGTAAATCTCTTGCCGACAAGCGAGATCCATTGATCCCACGATCGAATGTGAAATCCACCCTTTTGTGTCTCGCGCGTTTGCTACCCCCTGCGGGGAGGTAAATAATGTAGAAGGACTCGTCGGAACGTTAGACAACAAATAAATCTGCCTCGTGCCGGCTGCTACTACTTCGGTGCGGATCGTCCGGTGCGGTAATCTTCGTGATGGTCGAAGCGTTCTTTGTCGGTGTCCTCCGAGGATCGTTTCGATCGGAGACGGAGAAGTGGTGATCGTCTTTTATTTTTTCACCGACGCTATCGATCACGCTCGAGTGGTTGTCCCACATTACACATCCATTCTTGATAAAGGTGAATCGACACATAGATCGAGACTGATCTATCTTGATGATGATCGTAAATTTATCAAGAAGTGCGAGAATACACGAAATGATTCTAAACGTGTACAAGACACACATGTATATGGCTTGTATTCTATCGAAGAAGAAGAGGAATAATTTTTCTCATCAAGAAGAAATTGATCGGAGTTTATTTATTATTTAAAATTTTTACGAAAAAGAAACGAGATTAAACGGAGAAAAAATGGTTTTGGTCAAATATTTAAAAATTTAATTAGATGCAGACATTTAATTAGATACAGACTAAAAATAAGTTTTGTTAGACTATCAAATTAATTATGTAGAACTCTCAAGCTGGTGGCAGAAATGTGGTCAAAATTTTTTGCAGCATTACTCATCTTGTTTGAATTTCCTACGTAATTATTTTAATGGACCAACAAAATTGTTTTCAGATCTGCATCTACCAAAATTTTTAGATATTTCAACAAAGATGTATGAAATTAGCACGATATTTCGTTAATATGAAAGAAATAATGCATTTCAGTAGCTCATTCTTCATAGTTCTTTATAAATATAAAAAGGAATTCCGGATCTTTTATACTGAAAAACCAAAATTGAAAAAATTGCAACTGGAACTCCGTTTTCAAATAATTGTCACTCTATACATTCGATATAGGTAGACTGCTTTTATTACACTTTTTCTTCCGGACGAAGTAGTACCGTACAGATAAATGTAATTTCTCTTTCCTCCTCGTTCGCTATTTCTCTCGACAGACATCGCGAATGAACAGTAAACAGTAGCTATTTCGTCGATGACCCGCGATTTCGCGTAGAGGAAAAGAACCCCCGATGGCGATACTTTCTTGAAACAGTGGTCCTGTATCGGTTATGTTTCTAGATACTTTTCGTTGTCATCGTCTAGCGATTTTCCTTGCCCACCGTCTGGATTTTCTATCCTGTGCTGATCCGCAGGGCATTTTTCCTTCGGAAGCGTCCATAAAGGGAGTCGCTATCAAAAAGTCCACTACTACGGGAGTTCTGCCTTTCCTCGCATGAATAAAACAACCGGATTTAATATATATTTCGTGGTTACATGGACGTCGTGGAGCTTAGAACTCCCAAGGAACGACTTCCGGTGCGTTTCACTGACTCAAGAAACCGTACAGACGGAAGTTGAGTACCACTGCGAAGATCTACGAATCTCAGACCGTATGAGTTGCTGCAGACGACGGTGCATCCCTTATCGTGAGAAGGAAAAACGTCGCGAATTCCCTAGGTCCATTACCATGTAAATATTACATCGAGTTGCCTTTCTCAGAATTTTACGGCCAGTCACATGCATTTATACCAGTCATATTTTCAATAATTATATGTGTTATTTCTTATGCTGCTTCATAATATTTAGGATGGCAAAACAATATCTTATACATTTCAAACCAATTTATTTATAATTCGAAATACATCAATAATGATGGAAAATCAATATGTGAATATTTGAATAACACAAATAATTGAAAAAGAGAGCTGCATTCAAAATAGATCTTGGTGTCTTACAGAATGATTTTCTGAAATATCTACAAATTTAGGTAGCTATAAAATTTAATATTTAATAAAATTTAAGTAGATATATATAGTAAATATAATTTTTTTGGAACCTTAAAATAATTATGTATAACGAAATTCAAGCATGACGATCTGCTGCAAGAAATTTTGACATTCTAGCAACCTTAAGCGCCTTATATAATTATTTTGATAATTCAACAAAATTATTTTTAACTCTGTATTTAAGATGCTAAATTTTTAGATACTCCAGCACACACAAAATCATTCTTTTCGTTAATATTTTTATATAATATTTTTGTATAATTTTTACAATTTTCTATTTTTCAAACTGCGCATTGATTATTAGTTGTTGATTTTGAAACATAAAACATATTAAAATTCTAAAATCTTTTCAATAAGCGAAAAAGGGATTACATGATTTGTAATTTTTTATTTTTTATTTTTTATTTTTTATTTTTTATTTTTTTTAATTTTTTATTTTTGTATTTTTACGAAATCAGCTATATCTAGTTTACATTTTGTAAATCCCGAATCAAAATATTCAAATGTATATCTCTATATAGAGGAACGCATGTGCAAGGTTCTTCGCTCATGTTCTTATTTCCAGTATCTTATTTATATTACCTTTGATCCTACATTTCCAGAGGATCACATGTAACTACAAACATTTCGTGTATTTGCAGTATACTTGGGTAGATTACTTACGCGTGGATTACACGTGGTTAGTTTATGCGAAATAATATGTGTGCAACACGAAGGATCGCGTGTCTAACTAAATTCTAACATCTCGGTCGCTAAAGCTGCACTTAATTCCCAAGTATAACGGAAGGAAAGCAGTTTAAATCGGTTTAAATCGCATTAAATCGAGCATCGCTCTGATAAAAAAATAAATGCGATTAATTGCGAGATGTCTTTTAAATACGTTATCATACCAATGACGTCTCGATAATAACAACCTTAATTTTCGAACAACTTTGGATATAATTGTACCTATAATTGTTATGTCTGTAATCTAGCTACCTCAGCTAATTATTTTCTATTTTGGATTATCAGAAACTGTAAATGTACATTAAAATAAGCTGCAGCTAATATCTATAATAAACTGTAGCTAATATTTAATCTTATATTATTGTTAGCGCAACTTAATAATATTATACGTCGTGAAATGAACTTTGTACTTCTACAGCATGAGAAATTACAAGACATGCAATCAATCTGAATACTCTCGAAAGTTTTGATTCCGTCTATTTGTGCTTCTGACATTTTAATTTAACATTTTGATATAATTTGAATGTTTCTGACACAGCTTGCGTATCCGGAGATCGATATTGTTTATACATGTATTAATAACATCTATATCCTTTGTTTCAGGTAAGGATCTAAATTTCGCCAGTAATAACGCGGGTGAGTGTTACAATCTAACAATATACTGTTATTACCGCATGCGCCAGTTCTCGATTACCAATTGTTCGCCGTGTTGACGAGAATGCGTTAGAGTTTCCGCGCAACTGCGTACCATAATCGACATTAACGATCCATGCTCCGCGCTTTCGAATTTTGCGAGTTTTGTTATGTTATTGACGACCTCCAGGCAGAAACAATTATTCGCGAATAATACAGATTAGCTTGATCATAAATTCAGTTAGTGCTAGCATTCAACGCCAAGATAATGGCACCTTGTTATTATTCGCGAGTTTCAATATACGGCTTTTAATTAATAAATTAATTGCTTAATAAATTAATAAAAAAAAATTGCTAATTTAATTTGACTTTAATAATTTTAAGACAACTTCTACGTACACCAAACGAAAAGTTTGGTATATATATTCTTTGATATTTATGATCATAATTGCATGATAAAATAATTACAGTTAGGAACTCCATTTTGTAGTTATTACTGCTTTAATACTTAATAATAATATAATTACGTTTATATACAGCTCTATATATACGACAAAAAATATAGTTAGTATATAATAATTGATATTTGTAAAGTGTAAAATAATTGTTTCTTTTTTCTTTAATATATGTAACTTTTTAATTTTAATTTGATACTCATTTTCTTATTGTCTCGTCGATACTTTAACTTTGTTTTATAATAATTTATAATTATTGTAAATATAATTATTTATAATTATTATAAATATAATAATATATTTATGAGATTATTAATAACTGTAAAAATAGTAATAACTATAAAAATGGAACTCCATCATAATTATTTTATCATGTAATATCACAAATAGCAAAACACTTCTCACAATGTAGACACCTAAATCCGCAGTTCGTGATGCAATTCGAGATGCAATTAGTGTTTCCAATAGTACCGTTACATTACATCGCCTTTGTCACGCGAATTCGATATTGTCGCGCTAAGTTCTTCCTGCTTACGTAAGAATTATATCTCATTGCAGGGCGTAAGCCCTTTCTTTTTATCATCCCAAACTTGAACGCAATTTCCGACGCTGTGTGGTAAGCGACTCATCTTCTTTCGACCTCACCGTGAAAAAAGTACCGATTTACCTAAATCCCGTGTAATTCGCTAAAGATTTCCGTGCGCGCGCATTCTGTAAGTCGAGATGTGACAAAGGAAGAAGTATTTTTCCGCGAAGCGACCATCTGATGACGAAAGGTTGATCTTCCTCACGAAAAGGAGGGGAGGGAGGGAGAAAAAGAGAGGAGTCCATCTAGAATCCAAAGAAAGAAGAAAACCGGAGGATTTACCGAGGGTACCGCCTAGATAAGGACGGCAAATTGCAGGCAATCTGGCTGATTAGGCTCCAAGATAGTAATCCCGGAGATCTCGATGTTGGAGCTGTCTATACTATACGTCCTATTCGACTATGACTGTCTTCATCGTAGTTACAGTCGAAGAAAGGAGTACGAAAACGAACTGCTGAGAAGGAATCAAGGAGGATACTATCGAACGAGGAGGCGACGTCCGTTACATCCATACTGTGCCGAGAGATTAGGATTCTGCCGAGAAAATCTGATGAAATTACGGAAAAGGGGACTTCTTTTCATACGCTAGATCGACGATACGTGTACTCGTACATTAGTCTCGTACCATCGTCGCATTTTCCTCGATTTTCTCCTATTCTATTCTTCGTTTCCATATCGTGATTTATTTTATAGAATTATATAAACTTCTTTTGTAGCGGTTTATCGCGGAATACGGTACGTCGCAAAGTCACGTTCGTTTGTCTGTGAAAAGTCGTGCGGGACTCACGGCAGACCCTCGTTATTTTCTGTTTGTCAGTTAGACCTATGATGTAAGTGTGCAGACACAATAGAAGGAATAAGGAATAACAATTGATTGATCAGAGATCAGATATACAATTTCTGATATGTTGAAATCGTTGTTATTCCTTATTCCTTTTATTGTGTCTGCACCCTAAGAACTGCAACCCCAGGTGTGTTCTTGCATGCATATTTGTAATAAGTCAATGAAAAATTGATGCCAGATAATATCATCTTGCCGCGGCAATTTGAATCGACCTCGTATGAATATTCTTTTATTTACTTATTTTTATGTTTTTACTTAATTATGTGTGCTTAAATTGTCAATGAGTCTAAATTCTGCATGAAGGCTACATCAGGTTTCAATACTCGTTTTTTTGGTGGTGTACATATCGATTGAATGTAACTATTTAAATATGGTCGCAAACCATATGAAGCTCCTTTTGAGTATAAATACACTTTGGATATTTAAATCATAGGTTGCGTTCAGCAAAACAAGCAGCTTTCCAACTGTTATAAGATTCTTTAATATAACTGGTTTTTTCCTTGCTAAATGTATAACCAATCATATTAAAGAATTTTACAACAAAGCTACTTTTTTTGCTGAACGTAACTATTGTTTCTTTATCCATTCACTTTCTCACTGAGAGCTTTCTCAGATAAAGAAGAAGAAAAAGAGAAACACAAAATATAACTATAATATATTATATATTTTTACAATACCACGTTGATAATCTACATAACGTAAGAGAAATCGAAACTCGCGGGTGCTTTCGTCTTTGGGATTTATATGGCGAAGGAACAACAGGCTGATGGAGAAACCCGTAAATAAATAATTACACAGACAAATAAATACACACACACACACACACACACACACACACACACACACAAAATTCGCACGGTTGGAAATGTATTGACTACGGCGAGTAGCGTTCGCATCGCCAGAAAAGTCGAGTCGCGTCATATCAATTTTACCGGCGCCGTCGCCGAGTTGCCATCCGCTTTTTACTCCCCAGCAATGCATTTAAATTATTTATAATGGGGCTGCTTTTTCAATCTACGTCAGCGAACGGCCATGTACACAGGAGAAGAATGGCAGGAGAAAATATAATACGGCGCGAATTAACATTATCTACTGGCCGATCGTCGTTCAGTATATATACGCACAGTCAGTCGCGAAATCACGCGGATTGAGGATAGAAGCTTGTATTTATTAGCGATTGACATATTTGCTGTGTCGTTTCGGCGAATATCACACAAAACCGACGCATACATATTTCGATAACTCATATAAAATGAAGGAAATAAAGAAAATGTCCCGAAGCTGTTCGCAAAAAGTCATTATGCTTTACTGGTGTAATTTTTACGACCATCCGAGAGACTATGTACCCATTTTTGTCTCTTTTTCAATAATTTCATAATCCGCTTAGAGAGATAATGAAAGGAATTTTAAGTTCTTTTTTCTTTTCTTTTTTTTTCAAAGAAAGTTCTTCTTTTTGGAATCTTTTCTTTTATTTTATATTATGCAAATACAGTAAATAAAAAAGCATTATTTTAAAACAATATTTTATTTACACGGAAAGAACGATTTTGCTAAAGTGTTTAAAAATTTAACTAGACACAACACACAGTTCTGAAAATAATTCTGTTGAATTATCAAAATAATTACGTAGGATTTTCAAACTGATTGCTAAAATATTAAAACTTTTGTAGCATTATGTTTGTTTCCTACATACTTAATTATTTTTAATATTCCGATGTTTCAACAAAATTATTTTTAGATTTGTATTTAACTAAATTTTCAGATATTTATGTTTTAAAAATTGGAGGGATTCTTATTTATTAGTTTATAAAAAACGGGATAATGATATAAATAATCAAGATATCTTACAGCAAAGTGCGACTCGACGTCACAGAAAGTATTTTCTTGTAAGTATTATTCTCTGCAATTTAGAAAGTCAACGATAGCTCGTTTTTTCTCTCTTTCTTTCTTTATCGTTCCCCAGCGTGATGAAGAGATTATAAAATCTACGCGCGAACACGAAGGTGGTAATAGAATTTTGGAAAAAGAGAAAGCTGAGTACCGTCTCAGCCTTGTCCAACGTGGGATTATCGGGGTCGACAAAGGGATTTTAAAGGGATGACGTGGGATTGGATCACAAGAGGTGCGCCGCGAGACTCTCAAGAGCCGCTTTGTGTCTCTGCTATAATTATTATTTGCGGGACCGTCGATCTTCAAAATTGGTCTTGCAAAATTGCGTCCTGCGAAAAACACGTGTAAGTGTCAAATAATGCAAGCTCAATCCAATTAACGATTTCATAACTTATACATTAATTTATTTGTGTATGTGCGTTTTTTGAAATTATGAAAGAACGTCTCTCATTTTTCTTTAATTCAAAATCGTACAAGATTAGACACATAAATGTTTAATGAAAGCTGCGTAGATGATTTTCAAATGCGTCTGCATAAGTTAGATATTTATGATTTTAATACAATAGACAAAAGAAACCAATTTTTAAGATAGACTATGTAAATAATATCTTTATATTTATTTTTATTTTGTAAAATTTGGAGTGTCATATTCTTTTTTAAAAAATTTATTTTCTGAAACTTTGCTAAAAACCAAGTGAATGATTTTCGCGTGAGATCCTTCAATTAATGCAATCAGAATTAATTAGCGGCTCAATTTCTTTTTTTTTTTCTTCTGCTGACTTCTGGTAGCCAACTTACCGTGAGCGTTGGCCTAAAAAAAAGTATTCGCTCGCCATTTCTCGGTTTCGGTGGTCTGTTTAATTAGAAAGTAACGGGCGTTAAAGCAAACGAAGCAGCCTCTCCTTTTACTAAAACTCGCTCGCAAAACATCGCATATTCGCAATTTTACCGTAATGCCTTTGAAAAATTAATTACAGATGTCGTGAGATGGCGACCGGCGTAGTCAGGGAAATGCTTTCGGTCTCCGGCCACAATGTTCCCATTTAAACTAATTTTAAATTTTTATCAATTCACGATCGTGTTTTCTTGCACGTCGATTTGCGTGACGATAAAAGTTTATGTAGTAACGGCTGCATAATGTAGTCGCAGAAATATTCGCTGCGGCACAATAGTCTCCGTTTACCTTATACTCGATATCTCTGGATCTCTTTTCATGTTACAGCTGCGA